CTCACTGAAAGCCAGAATAACATTTCCAACTGCCTTCTAGTCATCTCAATATGTGTATCATACCAGGAAACTCAATACATCCCAAACTAACATTATTATATTATCTGCCAAACCTATTTCTCCTTTTGTGTTTCCTATTTCGGTTAGTGGTATTATTATCTTTTATTCAGCCAAGGTACACAATAGGGAGTCATCTTTGACTCTTTACTTTCCTTAATTCAACATCAAATTCTATTGACTTAATATCATATTAATTATTTACTTTGTCAGGCACATCGCTAAGTGTATTAGGTAGATTTTCCCAATCTTTCATTATATTTTGCTCAATTTTATTTTACATGTAAGAAAACAGAAACTTGGATGCTTATAACTCAATGGTGAAGTCAGAATTTGAACTCAAGCCTATTTATTTCCATAGCTACAGTCTTGATGCCTTTTCAATTTATTCTCCTCTCTTTTTCCATTGCTGTAGCCCCAGCTCAGATCATCATAGTAGAAGCTCTGCTAGCCAATCTCCAATTAGTCAAATCATGTCATTAATAACACTCTTCAATCCTCTTACACACACTTATCACTGGAGACTAGTAAGAAATTGCCTGGAATGTTGAACTTTCCTGGTCCCATCAATTTAGTTGCACATTTACCAAGAAACAGTTGTATTTTGTTCTCAAGCTGGTCAATGCAGTTGTACTTTTTATTATGTTACAAAATTTAATTAAATACTATGTAAAGTAATGAGATATGAGTGTGAAAGAGAGCTGTCCTATGAAAATTGAGTTGAAAGCTTTGGAAAAAAATAGATGAGAGCCAGTGACTGAAAAATATTATAATCCAAATAAGGATGGAGAAGGGGAGCCAAAAATGATTAGGGAAAACTTCCGTAAAAATTTCTTTAAGATTCTGCACTCCAACTGCCTTTTGCTGCAATTTAAAGAAACAGAAACATGGGTGTGGTTCATGCAGGAAAAATGATACAAAACTCCATATGACAGACCTGTACTCAAGGGGCCTTGGCTCTGTTATATAATTGCTGGATGAATGTATTAATATCCGTCTTAATCTACAATATATCTGAGGTAAATATCTTTTATTTATTATCCTCTGATTTGTTAAGTTTTGCAAATGACTGACCAAATTCAGTCCCTGATTTCACTGAACGAGAGACCTTCCACGTTATCTGCCATTATCTTCCAAACAGTAATGGTATCTCTCCTCTGACCCCGCAGGCTTCAGTCATCATTTCCCCATTCAGTCTGCAAATATGTTTTGGGAGCCTACTAATTACCAGAATTACCTTCTTAAAACACAGATCAAAGCCTCCCTCCTCCTGCCCACAATAACTCAGTGATTTCTCGATAGTCTGCAGAATGAAGCTAAAAGTACTTAGTGAAATATTGAAGACCTGAAATGATCTGTCACCCACCTTTTTAGCTTCCACTTCCTAGCACAGTGCTCTGTATTTTCTAAGTGTCAGTCGATCCACATTCTGGCTGTTGCCCAAATACATGACACCATTCAGCATTCATTCAGAAAGAGCCTGAACTATATATTTATATCTGTCATAATTTTACTTGTTATTGAAAATAGTAGTTTATGGTGGGAAATACATTGTTCATAACAATTATGTAATATAGAAAATGCTAAAGGTATCTGAATAAATTTTACTGAATGAATTTTAGGTTGTAAAGTTAAGAGTATTGTATAGTACGTAGCCTGGGGATGGAGGTGTTAACTTGTCTTTAATAATCAAAAGTTTAAATTTGTCTATACTGATAATAATTTAGGAAAGATTTACAAGTCTGCATAAATATGATAACTTGACTGCCCTTACCAGTTGTCCAATCAGGAAAAGCACCTGGTTCCTAGGTGACAAATATCAGTGGACTGTTGTGTCATATTGTCCTTGTCTGTTCCTCTCATTCACATTTTTCCCCTGGGAGTTTTATACCTGTCAACAGCCTTAGCTGCCACTACTGCATGGAAGTCCTGAAATGTTCATCTCAGCCAGAGCACTTTGTCAATTCCACCCCTCTTTCTAACTCCTTTTGTGTAATTTCACTTGGGAAAACACCATCTCATCATACCAGAGTTTAAAAGGGAACTTTCCCAGCAAACTCACTTCCCTCTGCCTTCTGTCAGTGAGACCACTGCCTCCAAGGTTTTGGAATTATCCACAGCTCTTGGGGTCTGTTTTAGGCCACAACTAGTTGCCAATTATTTCTTCCCATAAGGACTGAATTTTTAAGGGCTTTGAAAACTGTCAGTACTTTCCCCTTTTCAGTCAAACTTCTTGAAATATTTGTCCATACTCACTGTAGTCACACTGTTATCTTCTGTTCACTTCTCAACCCAGTGTAATATGGCTTCTGTCCCCAGACTTTTATGGAAGCCATTCTTATCAAGGTAATGAATTACTGCCTTGGTGCTAAATTTAATGGACACTTTCTCAGTTGTCAACCTAACTTCTAGACTTTGATATTTAGACCACTCTTTCTACTTGAAATTAATTCTCCCCTCTGCTTCTGTGACATGTCTCTATCTCTCAGTCTGCTTTGTTGTACTATTCTTTCTCAGGTTACTTTCTTCTGCCCTTTTAAACAAATGTGTCTGTTCTGGAGAGTCCTGTCTTCTTGTCTCTTCCCTCTAAACACTCCTCTAAGCAATCTCATTGGTTTCCCTGGCTTTAAAATTTTTTTTTTTCAACGTTTATTTGTTTTTGGGACAGAGAGAGACAGAGCATGAACGGGGGAGGGGCAGAGAGAGAGGGAGACACAGAATCGGAAACAGGCTCCAGGCTCTGAGCCATCAGCCCAGGGCCTGACGCGGGGCTCGAACTCACGGACCGCGAGATCGTGACCTGATTGAAGTCGGACGCTTAACCGACTGCGCCACCCAGGCGCCCCAGTTTCCCTGGCTTTAATTACTACCTCTGCCCATGATCACCAAATCTGTGTCTCCAGCTCCGTTATTAACCTGAGCTCTCAAGATGTGCATATTTAACTGCCTCCAGGTGTGCCCTCTTCAATATTGCACAGGCGCATTGACTTTAACCTGCCTGAAGCTGATTTTACAAAAGTGCAAAAATACTCCTCCTACTTGCTGATCTTAGTGAGTGGCACCATTCAGTATCTATTTGCTCAAGCTGTCAGTCTTAAAATATAGCTATCAATCTTAACATCTCCTTTTTTATTCCTTATTCTCTGATCAATATCAAAACTCTGTCAACTCTACCCTTGAAATATTTCTTATATAAGTCCACTTTCTCCATCCCTTCTGCACTATATCGTTCAACACATGATGATATCTCCCATAGATATCTGCAACTTACTTCTAAAGAGGACCCCTGTCTCCAGGCTGCAACACACTCCTCTTTCCAAACGCACACATTTAATAACATTACTTCCCAACTTTCTTGTCAATGTCTCCATGCTACCCTCAGCATTAATTTTAATCTCTTTCACATGGCTTGAAGGCTCTTTGTGATCAACCCCATTTGTCCCTCAAGTCCCATCTTTGACACTTTCTCACACTCTGTGGTGCTTCTTTGAATTCCCAAACTGTACCAATTCTCTACCTGTGGACCTTGGTCATCCCAGGAATCTGCTCCACTCTGATCAGACTCTTCTCTCTGCTATGCTTCTGTACCCTCCCCCTGCAATTTATACATTCCACATACCTTTGAAAATTTACTATATATCAGGCATTGCTCTAGGTGCTAAGACTACAGTAAAGAGTGAAGTGGATATATTGTACTGAACTCATGAGGCTCAGTGTCTACCAGATAGACAAGGAAATTTAGGCCATCGCAGACCTTTGTGGTAACAGGTGGACACTGGGCATCCAAAGACCCAGACGAGGACATCTCACTCAGTCTGGGAACAAAAGGCTTCCTAGAGGCAGTGTTGTTTAGAGTGTTTGACCTGAGACAGAGAAGTCTAAAGGTAAGAAGCAAGGGAGTTTAAGATCTCAAAGTGTTAAGCTTTTATCTTTTCTTCTTCTTCTTTTGCCTTCACATTCTTCCTAACTCTCGTCCTCCACATCTAACTACTTCCATTCTTTAAATAAACCCTTTGGTTGGTTCTTACGGTGCCCCTGGAAGTTAACTATTATTTTCCATCACTGGTGGCATCCATTTTCACAGAAGCACTTCCAGGCCTTCAGCAAACCCACCAGCTTCCTTTCTTCAAGTCTCTCCTCAAGCTGAAAATGAGGAAACCTCAATCCATATAACAGGCATGTCATCATCCATCTTTGGACATAGCTTCAGCTAACTTGTAGCTAACTAGGGTCAGGTCTAGATATTCCTTTTTTATCCTTCTGCTTTACACATTTTCCACTGTCCATTTTCCTGTTCATATTTTTCAACAGTCCACAATGTCAAATTGTCTATGAGAAAGACAATGCATGATCTTCCCTCATTTTCCAATATAGCACAGATAAAGTTTAAGAAGCTTTTTCTCATAGACTTGAGATTCCTGTCAGATCTTAAGCTCACCAGAATAGGGTGGTGATAAGGTTTCTCTTGAGCTTTATTCTAGGCCATAGCAAGACCTTTTATATACAGCAAAAATGAACAATCAGCTAACACAAACCCACAGATCTCTCGACTTCTTACTTTTAAAGGGGTATGTCATATTAAAAATTTTTAGTTCCCTTAGGGCTTATTGTTTTATATAGTTTTCCCATTCAAGAAGTGCCCCTCATTTTAAAAGATTTTAATAAGATGAGAAATATCTTAGCATAAATTTACAGGCATCGCCACCTGCCATCCTCCCCTGGGGTAAAGAGGAGGGTGGCTTTACCCATGATTGGTCAGTGGCTACAGGTGACTCTGCTTTGCATCAGCAATGTCATTATTTTCTTCAGTCACTACAGCCTGAAGATTTGGCAACAGTGTTGGGTTGGTGCTTATATATAAAAGGACGCTAATTACTTCATTTCATTCTTTGTTGGAACATTTTCCTACCCACTTGCAAATAATCTTCCCTTTCCTTTAACAGCTCTTCTCTGAAAAGCCCAACAATAGAATATTCATCAGAAGAACAGCAGTTGGAGCCCAGAGGGAGACAATGGAAGGCTGGGACCAGGGGCCCAAGTTAGAGGTCAGTGTTCACCAGCTCCTAGTAATTAGCCTCCCAGTCTCCCCAAAGGCCTTCTTAACAGAGACCAATAGAAACGTGCATTGAATCCTTATATGTTTAAGATAGATAGATAGATAGATAGATAGATAATAGATAATGTAATTGTTTTACACATAAAAGTAGTCATATTTCTATTAACAATGGCTCATTCAGGGCTTTCAAAAGTCATTGTTGGCCATTCTTTTGGGGACTTTATAAGCAATCATTTTTCTTTGAAGCAAAAGAAGAGTCAGAACACAAGGCTGCCTTTTCAGTTTTTGTTATGGGGAAAAAAAAAAGACACCACCTGAGTGCTTTAACCACAGGGGCACCTTTGTGATGACACTGGGAAGAGTACACTCTGTGCCTCTATGAACTATAAGATCTATAGCACTTTAATCAGTTGTGATGCCCTTTCACAAAGAAATTAACCAGTCAATAAAGACAAATCGTGGAAAGGGCAGTTTATAAACCAAGATGCAGACACTTTTATATATCATCTGATATATTATCATCTTGATAATACAAAATGGCTGGAGATTTCAACAGGCTCATCCATTCTGAAAGAGATTCTATGCTTATTGTCCTTTAACGTTTCCAGTATATATTTGGATATTTAAGAGCAGAGCTACAATCTTTGGGATCTGATCAAAGGGGAAAGTCGGGGTGAATAGTTCCAAAATCCAGCTAGTGCCTTGGCCAGCAAGCCCTACACATAGGCTTCCTCTAATTCATATGTATGGGCTAGTGGAAGTTCTGTTTAAGAGGCTGGAATATAGTAAATTGACGAATAATCTAAATATCCAATAATAAGGTACTGGTTGAAAAATATACATAGAATTATTAAATGAAATCATTAAAGCAGTGGTGTGTCTATATATATATATATATGTATATATATATATATATGAAAAAGCAGGCTATAAAATAGTATATGTCACCCCATTTTTGTGAAAGAAATAAATGCAAATATACAGAAATGCGAACATATATTATCTAATTATCTAAATATTCAGGGAAAAAATTGGAAGATTATGCACCAAAATGTTGACTGCAATTATCTTCAGCTCATAAATTTTTGTGTTTTTTTTGGAGTGACTTAGCTTTTATTCCTTTTTCTGATGAAAGTGTACTGACTTCATGGTGTGTGTGTGGGGGGGGGGGGGCGTGCAAGAGAGACAGACAGAGACAGAGAGACAGAGATCAAGAAAGAGGTGGTAATTTTTTTGTGTAATAAGAAAAAAATTAAAACCTTAACTTGTGGATTGAGGCTTAAACAGTAACAACTCGTAATAGTTACTTTAAAAGTGACAAATATTGGAGCACCTGGGTGGCTCAGTTGGTTGGGCGTCCAACTTTTGCTCAGGTCATGATCTCACTGTTGTGGGTTTGAGCCCCGCGTTGGGCTCTGTTCATGGGTTCAAGCCCCGCTGTCAGCACAGAGCCCAGAACTTTCTTCAGATTTTGTGTCTCCCTTTCTCTCTGCCCTTCATTCATGCTCTGTCTCTCAAAAACAAACATTTTTTGAAAAGTGACAAATATTTGTGAAATAGAAACCTGAAATAGTGTTTACAACCATCAGGGAAGTTAAAAGGACGGTCTAAATAGTCCGAGGACAAAAGTATTATTAGCTGTTTGATTTGCCCAGTTTTTCAACTGCAATGACAGTGGCTTTATGACAACATTTTCACAAACCAGAAATAGATGTTACAGTGAATCATCACTTAGAAATGTAATTATAAAGTAATCCCACCTCTGATATTGATTGTATTTAATAATCCCATTCAGAAGAGTAATACCATAGTCCCTTTAGTATAAATGATTTATTACTACAATGTTCAAAGAGATATAGCACATAAAGGAATTATGCCTTTGGGATTCTGCATTAGTTTTATTAGGAAAATGAGGAAAAGGGAGTGTGTTAAGATGTGACTTCCATTCCCTGACTTTTCCCTTTGGAAGAATTATATTCTGTGAGTCCTTGAGACAAGAGTCTGAAGCTAATTATTTACCAACATATATTAGAATATCTCTCAGGCATTATACTGGTACATTTAACATTTACACTAGTTCTTTAAGGCATGTATTTACCATTTAAGAGACTGAGGCTCAGAGAAATTAGGAAATGCCCTAATTTCACACAGCCAGTAAGGTAATGGCACCAAAATTCCTACTCAAGTCTTCCTGACCGCTAAGACTTTGCTCTTTCCTGTCAAGCCAGAGTTATAATGTTCCATGGTGGTGGACTGTATTATTTTCCAAAATTACTCAATCTCTCCATTTCTATAAGATGATACATCCTGCCCCATTGCCTTTAGGCATGGCTGTGTGACCTGGTTTGGCCACCAGGGTGTGACCAGATGTGAGCTGCTTACTTGCTCTTTTCCCTCTGTCCTGTGAATGTCCCAAATAGGGGAAGCTCCTTCAATATGGGTCAAACTGTGAAGACATGTGGAGGAAAGCTGGGCAGAATCTCAACAGCTGCCAACACAAAGCTGCCAAACCGCGAGCAAGTGTGTGTTACTTTTCTATTGCTGCATTATAAACTACCACAAACTTAGCAGCTTCAAGCCACAAATATATTTATCTCACAGTTTCTGTAGGTCAGATAAATATGGAAGTGGCCCTGTTGGGTACCCTGCTCAGGGTCTCACTGGGCTGATATCATCAGAGTGTCAGCTGCCGTTCTCATTTGGCATTTGGAGTTCTCTTCTGAGCTTAATGGTCATTGGCAGAATTTATTTTCTTGTGGCTGTGGACTGAAGACCTATTTACTTGTTGGCTGTTGGCTCGGGGTTGCTCTCAGTTCCTAGCAGCTGTTCTCAGGTCTTTTGAGTGTGGCTCTTCCATATTCAAGCCAGAAGTGGCACATTGAATCTCCCTCCCCTGAGAGATCTCTGAGCAGCAACTGGAGAGAACTCTCTACTTTTAAAGGGTGCATGTGATTAGGTTAAGTTTACCCAGATAATCTTATCTTAAAGTCAACTGATTAATCAACTTAATTACATTTGCAAAATCACTTTACTGTGTAACATGACATAATCGCAGGAGTAATACCAAGGGATAGAGACCTTGGGGGCCTTCTTAGAATTCTGCCTACTATAAAGAGATAATTGTATTGTAAGCCACAGAGATTTGGGGAGATTGATTTTTTTTACTGCAGCAAACTGACTAATGCAACTAGTTACCTCAACTTGCGTGTCTGTGCATATAGAAAAGGGCAAAAATCATAGGGGGCAAGAAGCTGAACAAATTTGCACAAAAGGAACACACCTGTACAACCACCAACCAGATTAAACAAAAACAAATAGACAAAAATAAGAAAATTATTAACAACACAAAAGCCCCTTTTCCAGTCATTTCCCAGACCCTAAATAACCACAATCCTATCTTCTAACACCACAGATTATTTCAGCCTGCTTTTGAAATCTTATGAATGGAATCTGACTTCTTCCTCTTAATACTAGATCTAGGAGTTTCATTCGTTTTTTTTTTTTGTGTGTGTGTTCAATTTCAGTTCTCTTCCTGTATAATATCCTATTACATAGATATTCCACAATTTGTTTTTCCATTCTGCTGTTGTTAATACACAGTTGGTTAGTCTCCAGTTTTTAGCTATTACAAATAATGCTCCTCAAACTGATTTTGCAAAACTTCTATTCCTACATCTCTCATTCTCTGTTCCTTTCCCCTCCCCTCCTCTCCCCTTCTCTCCCTTCCTCTCTTTCCTTGCTTCTTTCCTCTCTTCTCTCTCTCTCTCTCCCTCTCAATCTCTCTCTTTCAGATGCCTTCATATCTTAGATATAACCTTCCCTCTCTCTAAAAAGGAGGGGATCTAGTTTGGTTATTATCATCTTTCAAAATTAATCTTTAAGAAACCCTCTCTGAGAAATGATTAGAAAACCACAATGAATGGATTTAGACCAGGTGAGTAGGGGACTAAAATAGGGACAAAAAACAAGATATTATTTCCTACCCTTGGTTTATCTCACGGCAGAAATTATTTAGGTGAGACCAAGATAATTTCAGCCGTGACACTGAGCAGATCCATGCAGTATAGTGGGAAACAGCATAGGCCTGAGGCACCATTTAAGGATCTGAATCTGGTTCCTTTTTCTAGCTGAAAACTTTGGCAATTCACTACCTCTGAGTTTCATTTCATTCACCTGTCATGGGGGCAATGAGACTCTTCCATTGAGATGTTTCAGTTCCTTCCCATACTTCTCCCACTTATGCAAAAAACAACAGCACATTTTGCCCCAACCCAACTCCACCATCTGTTTTCTGCTTTTGCCCTGCTTTTGCCCCCAGCAAAACTGACCTCTGTTGACTGCATCTATCATCTGGCTCTGTTATTATTTTGCTTCCATTTGGGTTCAGCCAATGGGAGTCACTGGCAAGAGATTAGAGGGAAGGAGGAGAAAGAAATTGGATTATTCCCTTATGCACACACTGCTCCCTTCTTGTCTTACTGCTGTTCTAGGGAGGCTGCTTTCCTCTCAGACCACAGCTTTAACTACCACCTGGCTCCAGTGACACCCCTGTCCCTCTTGTATTTTAAACCTAAAGCATGATTTCCCATTCATTGGTGGCCCACCATCTTTGGTTTCTTAACCCAGTCCATGTCTTTGTAAGTAGTTCCTTTATTATACTCTTTTTAGGCTTGAATCCTTTGAGGGGATCAACCATTTTTGAGATGTCCCTGATAATAGAGAAGGGAGCCCAATCAGATTGTTGAATGTATGGGAGAAGAAGAAACAGTGTTAAAAGTTGGAGGCCAAAGAAAATAAGAGATTTAACGAACTGGGGAGATGAGATGGAGCAATGGAGTCATAGTGTCATATGAGCAGTTTCCATGGTCCCTGCTAAGTACTTTACATGTGTGGCATTTAAATTTCATGAGTTAATATGATGACTACCTAATTTTAGAGGTAAGGAAACTATGACTTAGAGTGGTTAAGTAATTTCTTGAGATCACTCTT